TTTTTGAGCTTTGTGTGTCATCAGTGAGGTCCCGTGTAACTCTTTTCCTCACATTGCAGCAGAAAAGACAAATTACTGAGCAGAAGTGTACAGAACTTCTAAACTCAGGAGCCCACTCAGTGGTACAGTGAGATTCTTATTAGTCATCTCCCTATATGTGGGATTTAAGTAATAACTGTCCCAAATTGCCAGAGATGTCATCTGCCACAGAAGTGAATTTAAAGAGTGTTCTGAGTATAGTGGATGTTTCAATAACACTGAGTGGCTACAGCTGTGATTTTCCTTTTTCATGTATGTATTTGCATTCTGAGTAAGTTGTGGTGTTTTTCAAAATTAACTTTTGTCTGTATATTGTTAAACACAGGGTAACGTCCATAAAATCTTGGAAAAGTGCAATTTACCACTTACTGGAAAACAATGTGTGAACCGCATCATTACAGAGAAGGTAAAATACTTTTCTTGAATCCTTGTCAATATTTTCCTCTATCCCTAAGAAATGAAACTCAGTGAAAGTAGTAAAGCTTAGTAAAAATGAAGAATGTATTTGGTATTTGTTGCCAATGAATGGTAAAGATTCCCCTGGAGTTCAGATTGAGAGGTCTAGGGGCTCATATATTTTTTTTTAAAGCTTTCAACACTGACATATAGCATGCTGAACTGCACTCTTAGACACCGTCAGAACAAAAATGCAACGCGTTAGAAGTATGCAAAATGTGTATCTGCTTATTTTTCCCAAACTATTCCTGAAAATTTGCCATGTGAGACACAAATCCTCAAATACAGCTGTAATCGCAGCTGATTTTTTTTTCCAGTGGAGCAGTGAATGTGTAGCATGTATATGTCAGACAATTGGCATCTTCCTTGGTTTACAGTGCAGACTCTTTCAGAGAAACACAACCTGTAGCTGTAGCAAAGCTTTAATTCTGTTGTCCTTACTTAATTCCATTTGTGAAGCAATGCACTCTCCAGTGCAAGTATGTGTGAACATCTAATATTGCTGCTGCTCAAAGTACATTAGTGGATCTTTTCAGCAAAGGATAAGTAACTTAAGGTTTTTTTCCTTTTATTATCAGTGTTTACATTTTTAAGGACTTACAGTAGTCTCTCTGTGAGTCATCTGTCATACTAAGTAGAATGCAGCAAAGGTGCTGATGTAGAATTTGCTTTCTCTCAGTAGTATATTGCTACTGTAATTTAAAGTTTGGGGCTTTTTTCTCACAAAGTAAGGGAAAATAAATGAAAATGTGGAAGTGTTTCCAGTCTTCTACTAACTGGCCACATAGAAATGTAAGGTACAAAAAAATGAGACTGAACAAGGACTGACTGAAAATAAACAAGGAGAAATTTCTCTAAGAGTCATCACTTGTCAGATCTGCTTTATTCAATGACACAAATGTACAACAGTACTTATCTAGTGTTGCAAATTCCTAGCTTCCTAGAGCGAATGTTCCTTGTGCTCAGATTCTCTTCTAAGACTTAGAGGAGCTGTTGTTTTTCAGTCCCATGAATCAGGCTTACATGCCCAGAGGACAGCTGAACTTCAGTATGCCTCTGTGATGAGCTTAAGATCACTTTCATTTCAGGTTCAATCTTCTCCAGTCTTGCTACTGACTTTTTTTTTTTTTTTGAGGAAAATGACTATAGCCCTTATGGTTTCCGTGGCAACTAGCTTGCAACCTGGATATCTCCTTCTGGTAGGCACCGTTAAAGTGCACATCGTTTTACAGGTGTTTTTATTTGATGCACTTGCAAGCCTTGAGAGTGGAAAGCATGTCTTATGAAGACATTAGAAAGAACAACCTTTGCTCTTTTAGCCACTTCATCCCAGGCTTTCAGTTAAAAGTACAATAAGAAATCTTGCTTCCATTGCTAGCTTCTGAAAATACTAAAATTTGCACTGGGTGTGCAATAGCTGTTGGAGAAGCTTATAATCTGATAAAGGTGATCAACCACTCTTTACCTCTCTACTTGCCTAAAAATGAAAAAGGAGATTGAGGGAGCCATTCTCTTTTCCTGTTTTCCTTCATGATCTCTGAGCATCATCTTGCAGCAAAGAACATCTCAGCCCTCTCCTTTGGACCTCTCAGTTCTCACTAGATTTGTGCAGGAGGCATGGTCTTTATTTCATGCAACGAAGAAGAGTTTTTTCCACAAAATTATCATATCTCATATTTTAGATTCTTTCAGCTACAAATAAATGTGTCAGAAATCTTTATTGATCAGTCAGAAAAGTGAAACCAATTGATAATGGCATCTTTTGTTACTGAGGGAATGCTACCTACTTCAGCACGCCATTTTGTACAGTATTGCTACTTAAATTCTCATTTTCTGCTTAGATAATAAAAAAAATAATTGTGTGCTATTTGAACCTGATAGGCTGTGTTTGATGTGGACAAGAAAAAGGGGTTGACCCTTGTGGAAATCTGGGAGGGACTGACAGTGGATGATATCAAGAAAAGCACTGGCTGTGACTTCACAGTAAGTAATTTTGCAAACCAATATTGTTAGTCTGGTGTCAGAACAAATATTCTCCACAAATATGAGTCACGTGAAGACTTGCAGACAAAGTAAGTTTCCTTGTAGTGAAGGCTGGGTAGATTACCTGTGGGATTTACGTTGAAAGTAAGATGATAATCTAGGGCTAATCTAGTATGATTTTATTGGAAGCATTAGAAGCTAGGGAAAAGCAGAAGAGATGGAGAAATGACTGAGATTAAAAGGACAATGTGAAAAGGGAACTTTTTTGATGTTTCAAAAAGGGGAGCTGATTCATATCTGAGAGGTGGATGAATACGTGTTTTTCCACTTTACAAGTCAGTTTACCTAAGTTGCTAAGTTTTCATGCTGTCTTTAGGTGGGGTTGCGAGTCTTACCACCAGAGCTGCCTACACATGTCCACTCTGTGTTACTACTGCCAATCAATTAAATGCTCTGCTGTTGATCTTTGCTTTTTCTCTCCCATAGTCTTGTATGAGTGAAACTTAGGCTCTCCATTAATCAAGAAAGCCACTGCCTTTTGACCTTCACATTCATTCTTAAGTCTTACTTAATGCTAACACAAAACTGACTTATTAATGGAACACTGTAGCTCACTAGACTGTAATTGATTGCGTATGTGTGGTTGATAACATATAGTTTCTTCATGGCCTCCTCCTATGTGCACATTACAAAATTTTTTCTTCTTTATAGTGAAGTCCTTTGAGACAGGGCAGACCTCCTTTCAGGAGGACAGTCAGTATGACAGTATACAAATTGTGGTGTAAAAATAGTTAGTGAAAACTTGTTAGCGAAGTGAAGTACTTGTCCTCTTTGCAGAGCTTCAAGGCAGGGCTAGGGCTCATAACTGAAAGATTGCAGAGCAGTTAGTATGTGAAAAAGTTTGTTACTAAGGCTTTATGCATACTACTGACAGTAAGTAAAACATTCTGAGCAGTGAGCCTGTGGAATTCCATTTATCCCTGTGTCCATAAGAGAGCATTTCTGATAACTAAATATGATAGTGTATGTTTTTCTTGTGGAGTTTTAAATATTTTAAATAAGGAGCTGTTCACTTTTAAAAATACATTCATTTATTTGAGAAGGATTATTCAGTTAAAGATAAGTTACCTGCAACTGCAGAATGCAGGAAACTACTACAAAATGGCTTTGCTCCATTATTTATTTTCCATGTTACATTTTATGGAGGTTATTATTATTTTTTAATTTACAGTGGAAGCAGCCTTCCATATTCAGCAATACTGTGTGCAAAAGAAATTATGCATTCAGCTTCTGACTGTGATTTAGGAAAAAATTATTAATTTTTTAAAACTTTTATAGTGTCAGGACTTCTTTTCTTTTTTGGCTCATCAGCCTGTCAAACAGCTAGCCTCCAAAATTAAACCATAAAAATAACCTTGTACATTTGTATCTCTTGCAGTCAGCTACTTTCTTTTGTTCTTGAGATTTAATTAATCAAGATGACTGAGGGAGTGAAGCATCTCCCTTATGAGGAACAGCTGAGGGAGCTGGGTCTTTTTAGCTTGGAGAAGAGGAGACTGAGGGGTGACCTCATTAATGTTTATAAATTTGTAAAGGGCGAGTGTCAGTAGGAAGGATCCAGGCTCTTCTCTCTGATGTCCAATGACAGGACAAGGGGCAATGGGAGCAAGGTGGAGCATAGGAGGCTCAATCTGAACATGAGGAAAAACTTCTTTACTGTGAGTGTGACAGAGCACTGAACAGGCTGCCCAGAGAGGTTGTGGAGTCTCCTTCTCTGGAGACTGAACGCGTTCCTGTGTGACCTGGTCTAGGTGATCCTGCTCTGGCAGGGGGTTGGACTGGATGATCTGTAGAGGTCCCTTCCAACTCCTAATATTCTGTGTGATTCTGTAATTTGGGGGTTAATTTAATGATAAATTTGAAGGTGCCATGCTTAGTAATAGACTGAAACTACAGGAAAGGATTTTCATTTTCAGAAGACACCAGTCTTTATGTGTTTCAAACCTTCTTGTTTGGAAGGAGTTGTTTTCTTTTTGGTTAGGGTGCACAATACATATGTATTTAATGATGTCTGTGTTACCCAAAGTAAAGTCCAGCAGCCTATGCTCGAGGCAATGAAATCAGAAGCACAGTTGAAATTACAAGCTGCCCTAAAGGAGCTGTGGGCATGAAAAATGTAGATGCCTCTTGGTTTATATATTTTCATATACTTACCTTGAAAGTGTGTGGCTTGCATAAATGCATGCAAAACAATGCTTGCTTACAAAGTGTGTACCTCTGCCAAGGCATGCGTGAGGGTCAGCATTACCTACTGATTGATAGTTCCAAACTTTCAGCAATTGTGCCTGAAAGTGCAGCAGATAGTGCTGCAGACAGAATGAATAAGAATGAACCATCTGCTAGCTCTTCTTTTTTCTTTTTTCCTTTTTTTTTCCTCCTCTAAAGAATGTTTCCAGGCCACAGTGACCCAGTCCTCCTCTCATTGAAATCCTTACCGAAACTTGTACCGACACCTGTCACAGCAAGACTGGGTTACCTACAGCTTCTTCAGTTAGTTTTGGAGTTCAGAAAGTAGAGATTTGAGTATACCAATAGGCATTTGCTCAGAAAGCAGCATCCTCAGTCCTTTTTTCCACATTTTAAAACTTTGCCTCAGGCTTCCTTGCCTATGACTGTGGTGCTTGTGATTATTTATGTTCACCGAATGAGACATCTTGTTCTTGTTTATATTGGTGACAGGAACTTTAGTGATACTCTATTGCTACAGTAGAAGCAGGTTTTTTAGATCATATGTTTTGACATTTTAAAACAGACTAATGGATAGAAAGTGAGGAGGTGACCCTTTTCTAGCAGTTATTTTCAGTGGATGCGGTGAACGATCTGAACTAAACCAAACATCTCTAGGTTCATTACAAGTGAGATTTTAAGGGATGGCTGTACCTTTATATATAAACTATCTCTCCCCATGCAGACCACTCCTTTTTAGAGAGAACTTTATAGCCTATATGGCTTTCTTTGAGACACATTTGGTTATAAAGTCCCATTTTCACAGCCTGCTTGCTTACTTGGAAAAGCATCTCCTAAAGTACATTTGCCACAACAAAATGTCAAAGAAAACATGATTTAGAGTCAACAATCTTTATTATAGACTGGCATCACATCAAAAGTAAACAATTTGCCCTCAATTTTACTGTGCGGTGAAGACAAAGTGTTGGCTTATCTTGCATGCTTAAATCAGATTAGCTGCAGCCTAGCACATAGATCACCTTGGCAGGTAATCTGTTTGGTCTTGTTGGCTTATACTGTTGATGAGACCATGAGAGAACAGACTGAGAACCACACTTCTGCAGATGTATTTCATTATAAAAATTACCAAGATTTGTCTCTCTGGGTAAAAATTCCCCCTCCCGCTCTTTTTTTTTTCCTTAATGTAAAAGTTCAGTTTTGCACAATAATTTTAAAAGATAACATGGAGTTTAGGAAAACCATCTGCCAAGGAAACATCAGTAGCTGAAGAGCAACTGACTAGTGTATGCTTAAAAAGAAATTGACTGTCCAGATTCAAGCCAGTGGCTACAAAATAATAGAGGATACTGTTTTATTTTCTGGAAGCACATTTTCATTTGAGGAAACATGCTGTTGCAGGATTGAGTCCATTTTTAAATAAATGTTATGGTTTTTCCTGATCAAACACCGCCACTACAAAAGTCACATTAGGAACAGATTTTTATCCACAAGCTGATATTGGAATTGTGGTTTGCTTTATCTGCATTTCAAATAATTAGGAGTTAATAAGGGATATGCAACTTTTCTTATTTTAACAAATATGCTAACATTGGTAATTTTTTTTGAGGGGCTGTTTTTGTATTTTTAATTTTAACTTACTCTTCCACATCTGATAAGGTCATTAGAAATTATTATGATTCAGCATCATTCAGAATCAGGTCTTGAAAGATCTGCTTGCTATAAAGGAACATAATGGAATAAGCACAGGGCTGTTTGTGCAGCTGAAAAAGGCTAGTTTGGGGTTGAAAATCACAGAGTCAACAAGCCTGAACTGCAGGGAGTGCCTGAGGCTCTGTGCCGTCTTACCAGTTCAGAGGCAAACTCTTCCCAGTACGTCCACCTCTTCAACGTTAGCAAAGTATTTTGAAGCTTCCAAGATAAGCTGTTCTTCTTGTAAGTGAAATAATATTAAGAATGTGTTTAGGAGGTACTGTAAGAAAGTACCAACTCTGCAGCTGTGTACTGTAAAACAGTCTTCATTAAGCACATTCAGCCCTTACCAAATGCTGTGCTCTTAGCACAGGGTGTTACCAAATTGACTGGATCTACTGGGATTTAAAGCAGTGGACTCATGGGGCTTTCTGCATTTCAGACTTGATTACTCCTTGTTTTCCAAGCACAAACCATCTCTTTTGTTAAATTAGCATTTTTCTGTTTATTTAATCACATTTTATTTAGAGCAAACATTTGGGTCCAGTTCTGAGTGGTTCTGAGCTCTCACCACCTCTGTTATCTTCAGCAGGTGTTAAGCACTTCAGCGCTTATGGGGATCAGACCCTTTCTGAAACAGATAGTGGTATGCACAAATGACAGCTGTTAGCATCAGATATAGTTAACGTAATATGCTCATTCAAATGTAAAATACGTGAGGTTTTGATGGCACCAGAATCTGCAACAGCAGAAAAACAATAATCTCTTCCAGTAATTGCCTTTTGTCATTATTTACAGAATACAGATTTTAATGGTGCTATCTTCATCCTCCAGTTTTTGCCTTCACTTCAGTGGAGCTATCCCCAGGGAGGCAGAAATAGGCCCAACTTGCGTGAGGCACAGAGGCTCTTGAAGTCAGAAATGCTTCAGCGTTTCTGAAACTGGTCCAGGAATGCTGGTGCACTCGGGGATTTTCTCCAGCTCCTCTACACTTGTACCTACTGCATCTATTTATTACCCTGGTTCACATACAGCTTTTAAAAATCAATGAACATTTTCCATCCACTGAAAACATTTCATTAGCATTTGATACAGTAAACACATTCTTCATGAACTAAGCTTTCCTCAGTGGCTGTTCTCATAAGGTTGTAAATTATGGCTGGAGGAAGGATAATGTAGAAATCTAACTGGTACAGGAAATACAGCCCTGTACCTCTAAAATAAAGAGGCTTTAATGCTTGGAAAGGCTCTTATGTATCATTCTTTCATAAGTTAGCTTGTTCAGTACTGTCAAGTGAAAAAGATGGGATAAGGAGGCAGAAGGAATGCAGTATGGGATGTTCAGTGGGACGCATTAATCACCTAGGAGCCAGATTATCTGTGGAACTGTTTTTCATCCCGAACAAGTAAGATCACATGAATTATTTTTGGTCTTCATCCTGGGACACCTATTTAAATAGTGCTGAGAACAGGAGACATTTAAAGAGGTTTGGATCCTCTATGGAGAGCTTTTCCTCAGGGTGTTTGTGTTAACCCACAGTCAGGGTTCAACCAAATGTTAACCATGGCTACTCTTCAAAGTGTTTTCTCTGTGTTCCCATTTATGCCTTCTTTCCTCATCTAGTTTCCTATTTAAGCTTACTGTATTTTATTTTTGGCCTGCTGTATATCTCATAGTATCACTAATTGATTTTTATGAGTATATGGAATTAAAACAACAGAATACATAAGTGTGTCCTCATACAAAAATGAATGTGAATGGAAAAAGGCAAGTTTAAAAAAAAAGGTAAAATTAGAAGTATTGAACCATACCATCATCAAATCAAATCAAATGTATACCTATACTATAGGTACAGTATCTGTATAATATATGTATACATTTGATTGTGTATCTCCTGCTAATATGCATGTTCAAAAACTCTGTTCACTACTTATGCACAGGCCCAGCATTAACAGACAACGTTGTAGCTCCTAGCAGGCAGGGAGGAAAAGCAGAGCAAACTTGGCTATTGAGCAAAGAAGGGAAGCCATCAGTTTAAGATTCCTTGGCATGCTTGTTTTAATACTGCTTTGGCAATTCAGTTCTGTGTTAGATATAAACTGTTTCATTACCTCTACATCGGTCAGTGCATTGATGCATGAATGCAAGTGGATTAGGAGGTGATGGCTGAAGCTGCTGCCCATCTGCAGCTTTCCTATTGCTATTCGTGGCAAGCGCAGGCTCACTGTACACAAACTATGACCATTTATGGGCCAGGGTTTTAACTAAACCACAGCCAATTTTTGAGTTACGTTCATGTGCCATCTGTGTAATTGAGGAGCTGCTTCACCTGGGTTCAGCTGTCCCTTTTGCTGGCATTGGAAGCCATCCGAGAGGACCATGCAGTTAGCAGGGACAAGTACAGGTCCAGCTGTCCAAGTTTAATCTGCTTGCATTCTTAAATCAGTAGCCCAACTCAGCATAAATGAAGTTTAGAGGCTGGATGCTAGCACCACAATACCTTGTATTCCTGCATCAGAAAATGTATTTGAGAGGTTGTTTATCTCTGTACAGTTTAAATAAATATAGTATCTCTAGTGTTCAGTGGCACACAGTTGGTAGAGGTGGAAGTGGACGGTGGGTTGTACTGCTATATCTGTATGCCAACTGTTGTGTTTTTTCCCTCCTTTTTGCTAGGTTTCGCCAAAACTAATACCAATGAGGCAGATTTGAACGTGAAATACAGACTGGGCTTAACTTGCCAGAAGGCTTGTTTCCAAATTGAAGCTCGGTGAAGAGAAATCGATGACTGTTTTGCAATTGTATTTTTTTAAGGGCTTTGTAAGTAGTTTCCAGTTAGTTAAACTTAGGCTGTGACTATCAGCCTAAATTGTATTTTACTTTCATAACATTACCAATTTTAATGGAATGGTGGATTTATTCCCTAAATTTTGATTAATGTTATACTAAAAATTTCATGAACATTGTCCAAAAAATGCCTTGTAGTCTCTGCCAAATATTACATCTTGTACACAGATTCAGAGAATGACCACACAAAACTTAAAATTGCCTCTGCTTCTCCTGATGTCATTAAACTTATGAGTCACTCTGTTGCTCTGAAACTATAGCACTTACCATGCCCATTCTCCTGTAAAGGGTTTTTCCTGGAGTAGTCTGTAGCAAGTACATGCAATTGTAGAGAGACAGGAATATGGACTTCCCTTTTCCTGAACCTTTTAATGAGTCTGTGACAAAACTGTTTATAACAGTGGAAATAACTGGGTTCTTAGCCCTGAATGTATCTGCTGTTTCCACAGTGTGTGTCTGTTGACACTTAGAAGCCTGCACCTCCCAAATTTTAACTCTGACCCCTTCTATTTAAATCATGCAAACTAGAATGGGGCTGGTATGAAGAAAGAAGATTAAAAGGTCTCCATCCCTATGCAGACAGTTGGTAGCAGCACAGCTGTCCTGCATGAACTGCTCTTACTCTCCAGATACAACCCTTCTCCCCAGCCCTATTCACAGGCAAATTGTCTCCAAAACAGGAGATTGTTTTGGGGGTGAGGTCTGTCCTTCCAGTGTTACATAGAGAAACAGGGGAAGAGAATGTTGCGGGCACTTGGAAGAATCTTCTTAAGGGGATACAGTTGCATAGGTTTGCACCACTTGCTGATCAAGGCATTGGCAGAAACTAAATAGAGTTTGGAACCCAAACTCATGATAACTAGAATGAATGCCATGAGACAATCAACATGGTAAGGCAGTCTCTCATACTGGTTCTGCTCAAAAGATCTTCTTTTCCCTGTTATTTTTGCAGATAGGTAATATGACAGCATTGGATCTCACATCCCAAATCAGCACAGAATATCGTTATTATACAGAGCATGAACTGACTGAAAATCCGCATTTACTAAAAATACAGTATTCTCTCCAAGTATAATGGTTTCTGTCCTTCGTATAGATAGGAACACATAAAACACTTCAGTTAAACTAATTCCTGACATAACATTTGACTTCAGGACTCGAGCAGATTAAGTGACTGAAAAACATGGAAAGTATAATGTACAAATAAATATATATATGCCTATCATACATCTGATAAGCGGTGTTTAGGGATATGGTATAGAAGGGCGTTTTAGATGGATGATGTATTCACCATAGTCTGTGTTGTGAAAGGAATGTAACACATTTCTGGGGAACCAAATAGGAAAATCCTGCAATAATTAGCTCCTGTACTAGCCTTTGTACTGCATTTATCCATTCTAAAATAAGAAATGCTTCTCTTTTGTGGTACAGTTATAACATTCATCTTGATCTACACATGGGTTTTATAGCAGTAAAACTGTTTTGGTTAGAGAGATTGTTTTGTTTAGCTGCATTTATTCTAAACAGTTCTTTGATAATCTTTTGTCAATACTAGAATAGGTGATCCTTCTTCCCACATAAACAAAATGCCTTTGTAAGCACCGTTATGCTAGTACAGAAGTACTCCCATAATACTTCGTTGCACGGCTTGAACTCATGGGTGCTAATGGGTGGTAGGCTGTTGTATAGCCTGAATGTGTAGGCAAGACGTGATGCTGAGCCCATGGGAAAAAAACATGTTGTACAAAGACTAGTGTTAATTTAATGATTAAACATATACAAGTGATTTGGTTGACAGGTAATTTGCATGCAAGACTTGAAACAATGTTGATCAAAGTGCTTCAGAATATCTTAACCCAGGATTAGCATAAGTTAGTTTTTACCTAGCTTTAGTTTTCACTTGTTTTCTCTGTTTAGGTGCATTCCCTATGTTATTCACTCATTCCAAACAAGTTCTTAAAGTCTGGCCATTTCTACTGCTGTGGAGGTGGACTGAAGTTCTGTTCTCAGAGGCTTTGCAGATTAAAAGTCACTATATCACAAAAGGTGACTATTCTAGTGCAGTATGAAACAGTTTTTGTTGTGGATAGATGCCTCTTCCCCAGTCCATAAATAGACTTCAGTGTCAATTCTGACCCTTGGGGTGCTGTACATAGCAAAAGGTGCCTATCTTTGCCTTCAGGGCCGAGGATGGGTGAAAAGTGACTCTGAGGGGATGAGTGCGCTCCCCAAAGGGGTCTTGTTCGTCGTCACTCAGATCTCTCTTAGAAAGCACCCTGAACGGATGCTGTTTTCAGCAAGGAGTGTAGAACCTATTATACAGGGTAAGGGAGGTACCCTTAACCTATCTAGAGAAAAAATACACATTCAAAAGGCTGGGGAAGTCCTAAAGAAACCTATAAATGAAATGCTGTTCTTTTGCAATTGCCTATGCTACATTAGTTGTAGGACCAGTTAGTTAATGACAGTGAACATTTATTGACATATATAAAGTACAGGAGAAGTGTCTGGGGGCAGCATAAATGTATGTTGTTTCTGCCATAGAACTATGCTTTGCTGGCATACGCACAGAAGCCATCGTTGTCATTAATATATGGCTATAAAAGGACAGACGACCTGATAATGTCTGGGAATTCAGCACTTTGGTTTCTGAAGCACAGGATTAGGAGTCAAGAACTCCTGAGTTTCAGCTTTTCCAGTTCTCCACTTGCTGCCTTGAGAAATGTTATCTGTGCTCTCCGCCTTGTCTCTTGCTGCTGAAAAAGGGGATATTATTCTTCCTACCTCACAGGGATGTTGTGAGGAATAACCAGCCAAGGTTTGTACAACCTGTTTTTTTTTCTCTTTAGCTTGGGGATCACACTTGATCAAGAGTGTGGAACAGTACTTGAAGACTGTAATACATGCCGGATATTTGAGTTCTGTGTCTTCCCTTATTTGTATCAGTGTTAATGCAAGAGAGCAAAAGTCGATATGGTGCTGAAAATTAGAGAAGGGAGGAGAATAAGCTCTCTCTGTATACAACAGTGGTGCAAAAATCTGTATGTCCCACTTGATTTTTTTAATCTATATAGGTATTGTTATGAGAACATCATGTGTCCACACAAGCTAATTGCATCAAACTGTGACTCCACAGCTTGATTTGTAAAGTAGGATTAGAAAGTAAAGCACTCGTAAATATTTGCCTGTCTGTGGACGCAAGTGTGGTTCATAGGTAAGGAATACTCTGAGCAGTAGTTGTGATGATCGGTATTACAGGGATGAGAGCTTCTTGTTCCTCTTTGGTGGTTGGTGGCCTGCATGAAGGTTTATTGGGACATCACTGAGATCATCCCCTGCTTGACAGCACTTAACAAGACACAGACAGCTGATTCTCTTTGTCCTGAAGATGATTCTACTATATTATCACATTGGACTTATTTCACTTTGTATTTTATGACTTTTGTCCTTGAAAAAAAGAAAAAAAAAGAAATAACAATAGAAAATGTAGTTGTGCTGTAGGCTCTGCAAATTAAACATCGAAGTCCTTCTATGTATTTGCAAAACAATCAATAAAATAAAGATCAAAACGCCCAGGTTTTGTCTATTGTTGCCATTTCTCATGGTCTTCCATTCTGCCATTTGGAGCAGTGGAAGATTTGCTCATGTTTGCACCAGCATGTCACACCTCAGCACATGCAAAAACCTCAAGGTCTTGGCTGAAGGTATAGGGATTTGATAAACAAGTAATGGAGCTTAAAGCTCAGCTAAAATCTGGATTTTCTGTGTTCGCTCTTCTCACTGGGGTCTCTGTTAGGTCACTTTCAAACAAAACTATCACATTCATTTTCATAATTACTTGTTTTTCAATCAAGTAAAATAGCGGACTACATATGTAGTCCTTAGAGAAGTGATTTTTTTACCTTTTGGTTAAAACTGTAGAAATGATAGCATTTGAGACGTTTACCAATGATGTTAGTGTGTGGCTGCACTCTGAAAATAGTGCAAGATGACACATGAAGACAAATTCCATTAACCACCTGGGGAATGATAAAGCAGATGATTGCAGACCGATGAAAATGCTTGTCTGTGGATAGTGGGCACATCTGTACACGTCATAAGGTCATGAGTAAATATGTCATAGTGTCATCTTCAGTATCATAGCAAAGCAAGTTGATACATGTGAACAGAAATGTTTAGATTCAGAAAAAAAACCTTGATTCACTCTGGAATTGAGCTCTTCAGTAACCATGAAATTACTCTTGGGTAATTTGTATGTGTGGTGTGATCGCACAGTCTGTCACTCCTGTGAAGAGGGGCACAAGGTAAGTGCCAAACCACTGAGAGGATACACAAGTCTTGCAGCTCTAAAATCCACTCTTACTAATGTTGAAGGTGAAGTTTTCCTCTGACAAGGAGAAAGTTGGTTACAGGTGTATCTTGAGCAGTTTTGTGGTATGATGTATATGATCTGTTGTTGCCTGTTTTACAATATCCTGTCATTTCTTTGATGCGCTGCAGTATTCTGAACCTCCCTTCTGCCTATATCCCATCTGCTGCTATAGACCAGGGCCTTAGCTCTGAATATGGCTACGCTGCAGCATGTGTGGCAGTTTTTAATGGTATGACTTCAGAGGACAGCTTGGGGGGGAAAGAAACTCCTTTCTCGAGTGTATTTACATAACATCAGATTTTGAGGCTCCAGCAAAGGCAAAAGTAGCTACTGTGTTTGTGTTGTAGAAGCTTGCTCTGCCTGGTTCACTTATTTATGTGCATATTTAGAAGTGAGAGCATGGAATTTCTTATTCTTGCCTTCAAGGCCAGTGAGTTCTCGATCTGCCTTCCGTGGTATTTACATTTTATTTATTGTATTATAGTAATGGCTTGCAAAAACAAGTAGGATAGTACTTATTTGTGGGAGCAGTGGAGTCTAAGGCTAGAATTCATATTTCCATGCTCTTAAAGCTGTCCCCTGAGC